GAGAGACTGTGAGAGAGAGAGACTGTGAGAGAGAGAGACTGTGAGAGAGAGAGACTGTGAGAGAGAGACTGTGAGAGAGTGTGACTGTGAGAGAGTGCGTGACAGTGAGAGACTGTGAGAGACTGACTGTGAGAGAGAGAGAGAGACTGACTGTGAGAGAGAGAGAGAGACTGACTGACTGAGAGAGACTGACTGACTGACTGAGAGAGACTGACTGACTGAGAGAGACTGACTGACTGACTGAGAGAGACTGACTGACTGACTGAGAGAGACTGACTGACTGACAGAGAGAGAGAGAGAGAGACAGAGAGTGTGACTGTGAGAGAGTGTGACTGTGAGAGAGTGTGACTGTGAGAGAGTGTGACTGTGAGAGAGTGTGACTGTGAGAGAGTGTGACTGTGAGAGAGTGTGACTGTGAGAGAGTGTGACTGTGAGAGACTGAGACTGACTGAGAGAGAGAGAGAGAGAGAGACTGACTGTGAGAGAGACTGACTGTGAGAGAGTGTGTGACAGTGAGAGAGACTGACTGAGAGTGAGACACACAGTCAGACACAGAGAGAGACACAGACAGACAGACAATCACTGACCCAGACACACTCTTAGTTCTGAGAGAGGGTTATGGGCAGGAACTGAGAGTGTGCCTGGTCCAGTGATTGTCAGGGAGTGTGTATTTGGCAGAAACTGCTTCTCAGGCGTGGTGTATGGTAGGTCCAGAACTTGATAAAATAGATCATTGTTAATGTTTGTTTAAGAGGGTGCATTATTCTTAAACTTAAAATATTTTTTTTTAGGGCACTCTTGTTTAATAATGTGGAGATTAAAGGTTTCTGACTATTAAGAACATATTTTAGCATAGAAGAGTTAGTGCATTGTGGATTTAGTGCTGCACCAATGTATTACTTGCACATACAACATTAGCAGACATGCTTGCTAGTGTCTGTCATTCATCGGAATGAGATCCCTGGTGCCAGCTTACTTTAATGGGTTAAACCGTTAATTAATTTTTTAACCCCTAAGTCTTCAGTCAGGATTTATGCGATTCTGCCCCTGAGCCTCTGTTCCAGTTCAAGGCTTCCAACAGGAAGACTCAGACGGGTGCCACTGAGAGCAGTATCAGGTGACGCTCTCATTTTATCAGTAGCTCCCAATTCACATAATGGAATGTGAAATACACATACATTTTTCACTTCGTTTTGTAAATGTGGTGCTGAGAGCATTATTTTACATTCTTAGCCTGTCCGAGGCCTCCGGTCTGAAGCGAACCTCAATTACAGTTGAGTGGCAGAGGCGAAGCCTTTTGTACCTATTTGCACCATAACTTGCCAATGAACTTGTAATGGTACCCAGAATGCTCCTTTGCTGTAAAACCTTCTATACCTCTAGGATTTTTATGTTGTATTAAAATCCAAATTACCAATAAATTCACTTTTTTGTATGCCTTCTGATACACTTGCTCCAGATTAGGAGATGTTATATCTACTGTACTTGCAGTCTCTTACAAGGTTATTCACCAAAGTGATCATTCAAAGTGAATTTCACATATAAGGCCAAAATAGCCAAATTGGAAACATTCTCTAAGTCAGCTATACTTTCAGATTTGATACTGAGGTCTTATTTTTGAAATTCACTTTCCTAAGTAAATAACCCCATTGATGTTTTAGGTACAAAATTACAGTGCATACAGCTGTAGAATTACTACTGTAGAGTGTTCGTTTTTCAAGTAAAAAATATGTATCAATTTTCTGCTGATTTATTGAGAATTTTCTAACTGATAGGGTAACTTTTGTAAAGCTTGTGTGAAATACCTTTGTTGGTTGGAAATGCCTACTGTTTCGGTATTGCTTTATTATTTGCGTTGATCACTCTTCATCTGTGCTAACTCTCTTTCTCTCTCTCTCTTAGGCCTAAGCTTTCACCCCAAGCGGCCATGGGTCCTTACCAGCCTGCACAACGGCGTCATTCAGCTGTGGGATTACCGCATGTGCACACTGATTGACAAGTTTGATGAACACGATGGTAAACAGATTGCTTGCTGATTGTCACTTGAGTTGCTATTGATAATGTTGCTATTGATATAGCATATAACTCTCTCTCTATATATAGGCAATATTTGAGAAAATTTAAATGTATTAGAAATTTAATATGAGCACTTCTCTGAAAGGGAAGTGTAACTCAATATTGCTTCCCGATCCACATGTAAATGCAAATATGTGTGCGTCCTTTTGTTTTGTTTTTCTTGTAAGAAAAATGTTTGTGTTTTACAAATCCTTGTCTTCTTGGTCTCGTTTCTTAGGCCCTGTCCGTGGTATTGATTTCCACAAGCAGCAGCCGCTGTTTGTTTCTGGAGGAGATGATTACAAAATCAAGGTGATGCAGTGTGGGCAGTTAAGATGCAAAATCAACTGGTGAATTCAGTTGATTTGGTAGATTTAGAAAGTACTTTTAAAGGATATTATAATGCGTTGGCATCTGACAGTTCTGAATGCCGTTTAGTATGCATCCACTCAGTGAATTCAAACACAAAGAACCCTTTATCAGGGACAAACTTACAGGTACTTGTAGGTAATAATATAAATCCATGTTAATATAATGCAGAAGGACATCGTCTTAAATTAGAGAGGCAAAGATTTAAAAATAATGTCAGGAAGTATTCCTTTACTGAGAGGGTAGTGGATGCATGGAATAGCCTTCCAGCTGAAGTGGTAGAGGTTAACACAGTAAAGGAGTTTAAGCATGCGTGGGATAGGCATAAGGCTATCCTAACTATAAGATAAGGCAAGGGACTAATGAAAGTATTTAGAAAATTGGGCAGACTAGATGGGCCAAATGGTTCTTATCTGCCGTCAGAAAACCCAAGGAAATAATTCTGGTAATAATCTTAAGAAGTATGTACTTTATGGAAATGCATATAGAGTTAAAGGTTGACTACAGCATAAGGTATTTATATTTGTTAAAAGTACTCACAAAAAATTAATCCCCATGACTGTAGCCTGCTGTAGTGGTTATTGTGCTTGTAGTGCCCTGCCACCTTCCCACTGTACGTAATTAAACCTTCTTAGTACAGTTTGAAAACTTACATAGGTCCCCTGTGCACCCATGCTGTGTCCATGGCAGGAAGGTGTCTCTATAGAATAAAGCACAGGGCCTCACTCACAGGCTGTCCTCTCCCTGTGTATAACATGTCCATTGTTTGCTTCCCGCCTTGCTAGAAGAGACAAATCTAAATCCAGTGGCATAGAACAGAGTTTGAAAAAATATATTACGTTGGGAGGTGCAGAATGACTGACTGGCTTGTGGAGCAAAACGAACAGAGTTTAAAAAAAAATAACTATAATAATTTATAAAAACTGCATAATTGAGTGAACTTATCAACATTACATGTGCATGCATGAATTGCCCGCTTAAATTATCTAAGAAATAAATGCACGTCAGTGCAGGCAATCAGCATTCTTTGGAAGGACGGATTTTAAATGTTTAATTTCTAAAAGCATCTTGCTTCTTCCCAGGTCTGGAATTATAAGCTGCGTCGCTGCCTATTCACTCTCCTTGGACACTTGGATTACATTCGCACCACCTTTTTCCACCATGTAAGTTTCATAAGATACTGTAAATCATTACAATAAGCTAAGATTTATACAAAAGTAAAAGTCAATTTAATAAAGTTGTACATCACATTTTTTTTGGGGGGGAGGAATTCTGCTGTGAGGGCACACTTTTTTATGTGATATTTTATGTAGGTCTGTAGATGCTTCTGTTTAATACTGCAAACCCTTGTCCTATGCCACTCCCCTCGTGCCCTGGCCTTCCCAAGTGTCTCCTTTGCCAGCATTTCTGACACCATGCTCCGACCCTGTAAGCCATGCTCCTTTTGTGACGTCATCTTTGATGCCCACTCATGTTTTGGGGGCTTGGCTGTTAAGGAAACTCCCACAGGCCTATAAACACCTGAGCACCTGTTCATTGCCTGGTTGTGGTATCCAGTTTGGTTATCAGAGAACGTTTTTTTATTTTATTTATTTTTCTATACTCCGATTCCTGGTTATTGAGCTTGGCTTGTCTCAACTACTCTGTTGTCTGCATCCCTGACCTTGGCTTGTTTATTGACTTAGTGTATTGCCCTTGTCCATGGCCTGTTATTTGACAGTTATAAATTGTTCCTTGCACTGTAATATGTACTCGTTTTCCTGTACTTGTGTGACCTTATTCTACATGTTGGGAGACCTTTCTTGACATTTTGTCACCTTTTTACAGCACAAGTGTTGGAAAATTACTTCTTCAAGTTTCTTGGGTGGGAAATGCCTTTACTCAACTAGTGGTATTTTTTAAATTAGTTGACTCTTGATTGCTCTTCTGTCCAACTATTATTTATTTTTTTAGGAATATCCTTGGATTTTGAGTGCTTCAGATGATCAGACCATTCGCATCTGGAACTGGCAGTCCCGTACTTGTGTTTGGTAAAGTCACATACTAATTATGTACAATGTGTTATTTACAAATGAGGGTGATTTAAAACTAAATTGCAAAATTGAGATTATGTATTGAAATTGTCAGTTTCTTATTGCCTTACTGTTCTGTGTTGTATTTTGTTTGGTGGGGGGGGTGTTATTTCATTTTATAGTCGCCTTGTGTTATGAGAGTGAAATGATTTAGCCAGAGCATTTATTTTTTTCCCCTTTTGTAATCATTCGGTAGGTTATAATGTATAATAAACTTGTTTTTGTTTTGTGTGTTTTTTTTTTCCTCTCTTCCTGCAGTGTCCTGACCGGTCACAACCATTACGTGATGTGCGCTCAGTTCCACCCATCGGAGGATTTAGTTGTTTCTGCTAGCTTGGACCAGACTGTGCGCGTCTGGGATATTTCTGGTGAGCTGCCCAGGTCAAGGGGGTTCCTGTGAAGCTATCCTACTCAAAACTGTAATAGCTGAGAACAAGGATTAGGGAATCCACCGCCTAGGAGGATGAAATCCAAGACACCTTCCCTGTTATTTATAGGAAATATTAGCCCATTAGACAATTCTATAATTCCACTTGGCATCATTGAGTAAATGTCGCATCCATTTGGCACTTACTGTTTTCTTAGAAAACCTTGTTTTCTAAGTTCAAACACTTTTTCTTATGTCTGCTTAGTAGGGCAGTTTATCTCATCCTTCAGGTTAGATTATCCAGATGGATGATCATAGCCAATCAGATATTTCTCTATAAAGAAGTGACCGCACTGATCGCATCTGTGGCACTCTGCCAAAGGGATGTCAAGGATGTGAAAAGCACATGGCTTGCATCTCTGCATACTCTCCTTCCAATAAACAACATGGCTGTTACACAGACTTCTTCTTGCTTGCCATGGTTTTCACTGCTCCTTGATTATTTCTTGGGCTATATTTAAAAGGACAATCTTAGTACCATAAGCAATGCAGCTTTTTGTATTAATGAAGTTTATTGTAGCATTTAGTGCAAGGAACTTTTACTGAAGTTTCTCCAGCACCCCACTACAGTAATCTGCAGTGGTATAACGTTTTTAAGAGTCATTTATAATAAGAAAAAAAGTATTTTTGCTCAGTAAAAGGCTATTCTGTCAAATGAAGGCTTTCTGAAATCCATCCATTTCATGAATTAGGCCCAGAGTGCCCCTTATTTCTCTTCTATGCAGTTTTGAGTGGGATTGGCCGCACTTTTTAAAGCACACGCCAGATAAGACCAGTTGCTTGTGGCAT